GCCCTAAAAGATAACTTGCAAAAACGCAGACGAGATAGGCAACGTAATAGCACTGATAACTGCATAAAAAAGGTACATATTTGCGCAAATGCACAATCAAATGACAAAGTTTTTGGCAGTGAAAGAAAGGAGCCCCATTCGACCAGAGATGCTTCGTAGAATCAAGCCTTAATCGTTGAATTCACACAACACTCCAGACAAATCTACCCAACCGAGGACATTATGTACAGTTTTGAATGGCTAAAGACCTAAATCAGCCAATTGTTCTCATCGAAAGCCTATTTCTTTGTTCTATCCTCAACTCTATCTATCCTGCACCGACAGGCATTAGTCCATTGAAAACTCTTCCGCCAATTGGCGCAGCTTCGAAGCCTGCACTATCACACTATCCGGCAGTTCATCCATCCGAATGTTCTGTTCCATCAACAGACTGCTCTCGAACTGCCGAATTTGATAAAGCATCCTCTCTCTGGCCCGTTTCAATCTGCCGACCAGCGTAGTTAAGCAGGGCAGGAAGGGAACCCAGGCGTTGCGTACCAGCAAGAAGAGTTGTCGATAAACCAGGCAGTGGAGCCCAAGAGTCGGTACAGCCACAATGAGGATGTCCAACAAGCGGACCAGTTGATCCAGACTGGAGAGGAGGATGATCACACAGAGCCAATGGGAGGCATCCAGTCCGGGCTGGTACTTGTATGTGAGGATAAAAAAGGTTATGGTAGCAATGCTGGCCCGCATCAAACAGACGACAGCGTAGAGAAGGGTTCGAAGGACGACAATTCGTGTATCCTGTAGCGTCTGCTCCATGATTGCTATCACTTTGTACAGAGTGAATGAAAAGAAGCCGTCGACTCGTGTCTGATAGAGCAAGTACTTGACAGTGTTCTTAATCTGAAGCTGACGACGCCGTATCAGACGAATGTTAAAGAGCAGCACCAGTCCGTGCAGGGCACCCGACTCGATCAGGAGTACGTGAATCAGGTAGATGAAAGTTGGCACCCTCGGATTCGGCATGATGAAGGAGACGGAAGAAAGTTCAAGCTCATGAAGTTCGTTATGGCCGAGGTCAGAAATATAGTGCGAGGAAAGAGAAAATGCTATCGTCAGGGCGATTCCAAATGAGGCCAGAATATAGCTTTTATTTAAGGCTTCAAAGCCCTCTGATTGTATAGCCAAGACTCGATTTATGCTGTATAGCACCATCAAGTTATTCCGCAGTGCCAGCAAAAAGTGCTCAATAAACAGCGAAATGTGTTCTGATGTCAGGAATTTCATCTTCTCAGGCACCACATTCCAATCTAACCAGCCTAAAGTCACAGAAATCCCCAACTCGAAAATGGCCATTTCAACGACCAGACACAATGAAACGCTGATCTCGAATATCAGCAAGAGGTTCTGTCTGGCCGATGCTCTTCGAAGGCCCTGTAAAAAATATACTGTGATGGTCAAACTCATGAGGCCCAGTAAGCACACAGGTAGGGCAGTGACGGTAACGAATCCGTAGGTCCAGTTGGCAACTTTGCATCCTGACTCAAAGGACAAGTTGCTGGTGCGAGAGTTGATTTCCTTCGCCTTAGTAAAAACATTCACCAAGTAGGGTTCAGAATACTCCATATTTTCCCGTTTCACACCCAATTTACGCACAAATTATCGATCACAATCCACTCAAACACATCCAATACACCATGCAGCATTTGTGGAAAAGCAAGGATAATCCCAGTCGAGAAGGTCCCTTAAATGTGGATGAGTGGTGCACACAGACTAGAAATAACAACTATAGCAAATACGAAGAGAAACATAGTTTCGATGAATCTCCTGAGATAGCATTGTTAGGGGGACCTTCATTTCAAATGAAAGTGCATGAAAAAGAGATTCGTTGGTCGATCTCATCAGATAAGGACGGATGAAACTCGTTGTACTGCAGCTGTTTGGCTTTTATACGATATTCATTCTGACGCAATCCACGAGACTTTCTTCTTCGTTTCGGGTGAAAACGTGCTGAGATTTCGTCCATCATGTGATGGACATCATCAGAGCTGGGTGTTATTTTTGTAAAAGTCTCACATCAACACTAAAGCAAGAGCATTAACCGGCTCTATCTTACTTCTTATATAAACTCAATTGAGCCAAAAATTAAAAATTAAAAACCTAGATAGATCGATATAGAGTGGTTTGTTTAATTTTCTTTCAGACTGGTTCTGTTATTTTTGCTTGATTGTATGAGTATGTATATTTGTGTGTGTGTGCGTCTATATGCAATATGGTTCCTAAATCAGACTTGTCAAAGGTTAAATCTCCTGTTCTGATCATTAAGACCTAATAACCCAAGAGAAAATCTTTGAATGAGACTGCTTAGGTCCGTAGATAAGTATGGTTGGGATAATGTAATATGAGTTTGTAAGCATGATAATTAAGTTACGAAACCATTTGTCCTAACCTTTCCGTCAAGGGTCATTAACGTTTAATCCTCCAAGGAAAGGGAAGACTGGGGTTGCGTAATCTGAAATCTCTGGTTTGTTTGAAGAGCTTAATCTAACATTTTGGACGAATATGAGTGAAATTTGAACCATCAATGAGCAGACAAATTGAGCCGCCTTCATTTTGAAGGTGGCTCAACATCCTCCGTCTCTTTCAATCTATCAATCAAGCATAAGTAAATCCTAATCAACTTCCTACCACCGTTCCTCACATTCAACGTATTTCCTAATCTATTAATTTCAATAGCCTTTCTTATCTTTCTTTTAAACAAAGACGTACCGTAATCAGCAAGCCTACTATTTTGAAGCTATTCTATTTCATGTCCTTTATCTACCATGTGTTCGGTCACTTCTGACCCTTGGATACAGCTACCTTTGCAAGCATTTTTGTGTTCCATCAATCTTTGTCGAAAAGATCGGCATTTTTCACCAATATAACATCGACACATGAGCAAACAATCTTGTAGCAACCGGATCTCGATAATGGGACATATTTCTCTCTGAAAGATGGCATAATAGAAGAAAGTATGAGGGTTTTTTTGAACACTGTTTGTATGCTCCACTTCTTCACTAATTCGCCTATACTTTTTGAGAGAAAACATGACGGCAAAATCAGGACATGGGAAAAGGTCTTATTCTGTGCCTCTTTGACTAAATGGTCTCCGTGTGAAAACGTATTACTCAGAAGAGAGATATTATTCTCAGTTGGGCCCAAAGGATAATTATTTTCCAGAAATATATTTGTCAGTAGTTGCAACTCTTTGGTCAAATGTTT